GCTATCGCACTCTGGATTCGGCGAATATAACTCAACTTCGGTGAAAGGGAGAGGAGATTGTGGGCGTAAAGTGGTCCAAAGTTAGATTGGTGCCTGAGCCGAGCTGGGGCTGAGAGCCGGCGTCGCGAGCACTCACCTGTCGTGGGCGAGGATCTCACCTAAGCTTCGCCCCTCCATGGGCGCGCCAGCCCTACCTGGGCCGAAGCGTTCTTGAAGTGGTACAGCGGCGCCGTCGGGTCATCTGCCAGACGAAAGCCACGTGTCATCTCCTAAAATTGCCTCGGGTCTTGTTCGACTTTTCCCCTTTTTTATGTTTGTTTTCCCCTCGAATAGTGCGGTTTCTTCGAAAAGACGGCGAAGCCTCCACCAAACCAAGACCAAACTGTCCTGCGGAGAGTTAAGGTGGCCGTCCCGTACCCCGTCCCGTACTCCGCCCCGTTACGTTTTGTGCTTGCGCTTCCGCCCGCTGCCGCGTCTGCTCCAAAAACTTGCGCCATTCCCTTTCAGAGTTCAAAGTGAACGGGCAGCGCTTGTGGCCTGCGGCGGCCGGGCTTGGCAGGGCCGCACTGGGGCGCAAGCAGGGCCTCGACGGCTTGCGAAAACCAATTATATTGGAATAACAAGGCTAAGGGAGAGGGAAAGGGAAGTCGTGCCGAAGTCGTGCTGTCGGGGCTGCTCTTGGTCAGGTCAGGTGGAGACACCGCCGGCGCGCCGCGGGCCAGGTTGCGGCCGCCGTGCGTTCTGGGAACGCGGCGCGGGGCAGACGACGCGAGACGACAGGCGGCGGATATTGGGGGAGGGAGAGGGGGAGCGGGAGCAGGGGCAGCAGCGTGGTGCCCGGTGGCGGCCGCGGCAGGGCGGTGGCGTCGGGGGCGCGCGGCGCGAGGCTATTTCGAGAGGCGAGGAGGCTTTGAACACCAGGAACACACGAAACAAGAGGCTGGCGCTGACTCACCGCGCGGGCGCCCAATGAGAGCAGCCACGAGTGCAGCGCAGTGCAGCCAGAGTCAGAGCCCCGCCCCGTCAGCAGCACGGGGAGGGGGGGGGGGTGACCGGAAGTTGTGTCGTCCTAGAAGCGTATTGATGCCTGGCTGCGACACAAGGAGGCGCCGCGCGGGGTGCCGCGCACTGCCTCGCGGCCGCGGCGGGCCAGGGCAGGTCGACGCACTCGGACATCCTTATTAATAATGCCGTTGATTGACTGGTATACGTCGCGACACGCCGCCTATTGTGCGGGCAGTAACAGCCCGCGGGCGGCGCGCCGCGGCGTGGTGGTGCCTCACGGCCTGCTCCGGCTGCTCGGGCGGGGCGGCGGCGGCGGCCCTTGTGTGCCCAGCGGCACGGCCCAGCACAGGCCGGGCCGACTGATTGCCAAGGAGATAAAAGGCAAATACATGCATACATGCACTAACAATCGCAAGAGCCTCTCTCTGTTCTCCGTACGTCTGTCTTTCTCTCTCTTGTTTGTCACACTCATTGCCCTTTCTCTCTCTCTATGAACCACACCCCTCTTCCTTTGTGATCTTGTGAATGAACCTCCTCCTCCTTCTTCACCACAATCAGTGAGGGGCAGCAGCGGGAGCGGGCCTCGGAGCGGAGCAGGCGCAGGCACCCCCTGCTGCTCGCCAGCCGGGGCGCGGCTCCCTGCACATGCCGGCCCGGGTCTCGTCATGAAGTCTACACCCCGCCGCCCCCGCGCCGCCCACGTCTCTAGAAAAAGGCGAGGATGAGGCCGTCGCCCGCGCCGAGGCTGCTGCACCGCGACGTGATGTGTTTTGTGTTCCGCGGGGAGGGGCTGCAAAAAGAAGGCGACCCGGTGCGAATAAATGTTGCAAAAGCGACAGAGGGAAGGGGGAACACACCGCCCAGCCACGCGCGCGCGCGGGGCGAGTGAACTCCTGACCCAATCATCCTCCTCCTCTTCCTGGAGGGTCAGGAAGGAGGGAAGGCCGGGACCGCGGAGGATACTGCCGGAATTGGCCCCTCGAAACGGCCGAGAGATGGCGGCGGCCTTTTCAACTTTCAACCTTTCCTCACTGGAGCGGGGGCGTATATATCAGAAGAGCATCGCGCGCTCACGTCGCACGGTTCGATAATCTCTCCTCAAGCGTGATAATTTTATGTTGATTTCACCGAGGCGAGCGGCGAGCACTGCACATGGTGTCGTCATTCGATCGGATCTATCGGACGATTGCAAAGTCCATACCTATCGGCCGCCTCGCCTCGCCCCGCCCCGGGCACCTTGTCGGGCCTTGTCCCCG